GTAATTATAACAATGTGATTTATGACCCTGTTACACAGACATGTAGACATGGTGAAGATGGTTCGCTGATGTTCAAACCGAGGATCAGAAAATGTGATTTACTCTGAACGTGGCTGTTGGTGTCAGACTGGCTGGTCCGAGTGTTCCTAAAGCTGCTGACCTGCTGGGATGTTTCCAACCAAGGTTTATAAAAAGAAAAGAAGATGTACAGTGAGCTGCAGGTCTCTGGGTTAACATGCCATGTTGGTGTCAGAGGTCAGATGAGAAAAGTCAAACTGCTTGAAGCTGATAGTAAAGCAACAGAAATTCAAATAATCACTTGCAGAACAATATCTCCGAACACCCAGCATGTCAACCTTTGAGCTCCAGCAGCAGCAGACCACAGCAGCTGTCACTGCTGTCAGCTAATAACAGGAAACTGAAGCTAAAAACTTTGATGCATGCATCCAGCAGGATAAACTATTTCACAAAGCTCAGGCCATCACAAACTGGTTTCCTGAGCATGACAGAGAGTTCACTGCACTCAATATCAATGCAGTCAAGCACCTTTAGGATGTGGAGGAATGGGAGATAGCATCATGGACGTGCAGCTGACAAACCCATCGTGTCACATGGGCCAAAATGTCTGAGGCTTGTTTCCTGCGCCTTGTTGAATCTGAAGAAGTAAAGATGTTCTGGAGAGAAAAGGGGGCTGAGTGTATATCACCAACTCACAACGGTTGCCTCGAGGCACTTTTATGAAGGAAAAACGCTACAATAAGAGAGAAAACTCTACGGGTAAGCACTTGGATACAGTGGAAAGAAAGAACTCCCGTTTAACAGGAAGAGACCTCCAGCAGAACCAGGATCACAGCCACAATCAAACATGAGCCAGTATGATGTTTACAATGTGCAGTGGCGGCGTTGCTGTTTTCTTATAAAAAATAGATAATGCAGGGAAGTACATTTATGTTTCTTTAACCTTTTCTATGCAGAAAATAATTTAAGAGACACTGATCAAATCAGTAGTTCGGATTTATTCGTTTAAGAAGTGTTGATGTAAAACGTGTAGCAGAGAAAAATAGCTTTCAAAGATCCCAAATCGAAATCTACAGAGTTATTCTGCAATAGCACAGACTGTAGAAATGTAACTTCCAAGAGAAAAACATTAGAAGCTAGAAAAGCTAATGTATTTGTGAGTAATGGGAAAAATAAAATAAATATACATTTCCAGACAATCGTTTTCTTTAAATATTAGTTTTTAAACAGACACACTTGACATTTGTTTGTTTTATTGGTTTTATTTCACAATGTGAATTTGGAAACAAATGAAATTACAGTATTAACGTACAGCCAAAGACAGACACAGGAAGTTGGATCCATGTGCTGCTTTTTGTTTGTTTTGCTGAGTCACTGACAGATCTGTGAGGCTGACACGGCTTCAAGTTGCAAAGTTCATAGTTCCCCCAGCTGAGATATTTCAATGCAGAACTCTTCAGTGCAGTTGAACTGGACTCCCTTTGGTGTGATCTGATTGCTCAGATGCAAACAGCATAATTAGCACCAAGATGCAGACCATAATTCTTTAGAAGCTCCAGGAGTGCAAACTTCAGCTAAATGCTTGATATTCTGACACCAAATCACACAAACTGCTGGAGTCGTTCTGGCAGCTTGAGAATAAAGCAGCA